CTTGACAGATTGATTTTTGAATACCGCTAAACCGCTCATGCTTTGGCTCATATGAAATTATGCAATATTCTGCTAATTACGATTATCATAGTTCTCGAACAAGTATATATTTCATCGGAAGGGAGCCGTCAAACATTTTTATCGGCATCGGTTTCGGTTGGCTGTCGGCTATCGCCTTCAGTCAGTTTTAAAAAAGTATTGGTTCGCTAGAAATTAAGCGTGTTTCACTACTCGATCGATAAAGGTTTTAAACAAGCGAATGAGTTCCAGAGAGGAACGCTGCGTGGAGATTGTTACCGAGAGTGGGAATATAGGGGCGGTNGACAATTCCTCGGAATAGCGCGGCTGATGGACTGCTTTTGGTGGGTCTCTTTCGGATTCACTTTTCCATAGAATTGAGCGATCAGTCTTGTGAGGGCAACGTAGATTCAGATACTTTAAATGTGTTTTCCGATTGTGGTTATGGCTTGGGGAGCCTCACAATCAGGAAATTGTATATAGATGGGTGGCATGCTATCAATGCTTCGTAATTTTGCTTCTGACTCAGATCCATTTGCCAGATCCATTGAAAACTTTGAAAAATGATCAAACACTTCACTTATTTTGATCGTGACATATGAGTTCACGCTATGAGCAATATAACTGTTTACCTCAGTCCAACTAATTGGTTCTAGAGTCAGTTGATCTTTCATGTGACTGTTCACTGCTTGAAGGAAACTTCCCTTTTTTGGAGAAGCCCTCTAACAGTGCTAATGAAAAACTTCCGAACTCAGTGCTGAACCATTTGAAAAGTTTCAGCCGGGCGATACAATTGTAAAAATAAACGACATGCAAGTGTCGTCACAAGCGCAACTCGCCTCATTGCTACTTTCTTGTGGACCAACTGCACGATTCATCGTCTTACGCGATAAAGGCAGCTGCAACATTGAATACTGCGAAGATAATTCAGCTTCATACGAACACGAATCAAAAAAATTGCAAAGCATTCATGCGGAGAAGGCAGCGAATGGAATTGATTGTGGATATTGTTTCAAGTTATGTCCATTCACTGAATTATTGATCAACAATGGATTCATTTCGTATAAAACCAGTCCGTCCCCATATACCGCTCGAGTAGTGTTCCATCCATACTGCGTTGGGCAAAACTGAGAAAATTTCTGCTTCTTGAGCAGAGCGATTCTCTGGAAACTTGTCGGATTCACGACGGTGTTAATGATGTTTTGAATGATGCAGTTTGCAGGATGTGACGATATGTTTCAACGATAAATCGGGTAGAAAGTTAGGGTTGGGAATAAAGGATTGTCATCATGCAGTGATAGTTTCGCGTACGGACCCAGGTTCTGTGGCGGCCGAGTTGCTGAAAAAAGGCGATACGATTACTAACATTGAAGGTTATAAAACAACGAATAAAGACGATGCTAGATCGCTACTGCTCAACTCGTTAAAGGTTTTCGTTTTCAGTTTCTCTGTCCGCTAGAGCACTGTGCTAGCAACTGGAAGGATGCTAACGATGTTATGCTAATCAGTGAAGAGTAAAGTTGAAGAAATGAATTGCAGAAAAATGGTAAAGTAAAACTGAGAATATTGCGTGCAGA